CACTCACTCACTCACACACACACAAACACAAACGCAGCAACCTCATATTATATCAGTCTATTCCCACACTGCCTTTCATATCCTCCAGGAACAACGCTGCAATCTCATAATGTCGAGCAGAATAAAAGCATCATCTCGGGATCAATAGGTAAACAGCAGTCGTGTCTCCGGAGGGGGCTGGGTTATAGCGGTTAACCCTGTGTCGCACGTTACCCTGCCAATTCATGAATGAAAACAGTGTGTAAATTCAACCCAATCAAAGACATCCGTGGCACACTCAGCGTTTGTGAATATGCATTTAGCCAGTCAGACGGATTGTGAATGCAAAACAGATAGCATGTAATTAAAAAATAACTAATGTTTGCTTTTTTTGAAGGCTTGCACGACCACAGCATGAATCAGTTTCATGCACTCATATCACAAATGAAGCCTGAGGCAAATGTGCACAAACCGGTGTGTATGAACATATCAGATCTATAGAGTCAATGTCATCCCCAAGGACACATCTTAATTAATAAAGAGAGAGAGTGTCTGGATTTCATGTCAAATTCAAGTAGCTAATGCACTTCTGCTGTCAGCTGGGAGAGCTCTGGGCTTGGTGTGTTGCAAAATGGCTGTAAAATCACATTTGGAAGAAGAAGAAGAAAAATATAAGCAAAACTGAAATGTTTGAAACTTTTTTGGCTGACTATTTAAAATGAAATCTGATATTATATATATATATATTAAAAAGAGTTCAGATGCAAAGCCTCTAAGTGCCATCTGAAATGTTCTTCTAAAATTTAATGACAATGCATAGGTCCTTTTCTATGCCACTAAAGCGAAATAAATGAACATAAATATAGGAGCCTGATAAAAATGCTCATTTTAGATTTAAAATTTCAGACGGCACTTAGAGGCTTTTGCATCTGAACTCTTCATATATATAAACTGTATAAATTGTATTAACTATAACCCGGAATTATTTAAAAACAGTAAACATCGATACACCTTCAACTTTAGCATTTTTAGACACTCTTATAAATGAAGGGCCACAGCAATGCCAAAGAAGGACCATTTTTTAGGTTCCCCAATAGAACCGTTCATTTTTTTTCTCTTAGTGTGAAGAACATTTTAATAATCTAAAGAACCTTTTTTTTTCCACTGTAAAGAACCTTTTGTGCAAAGGAAAGATTCCATGGATGTTAATGGTTACCGATTGTGCAAAAGTGCATCTCTCATTAAAGCCTTTCATTTGTTTTCTTCTCTTTAGCAATACTGGTTTGACTATTAAGATAGCAGACAGTTTCTAATAAACACATAATTTGAATTTAAACCTACATTATCTTGCTGTTTTGGGTCAGCACAACTATTTTCTCTGTCACGCCATACACTGATTGATCCAGATGTAAAGTGAGCAGTGTTTTGGAGGGACACAGACAGAACCTGTTACCTGAAATCACTGTAGGGGTGAATAATCCAGAAGCCGGCGGATTTGACCCGTTCCTGCTCCCGTTCCACCGCCTTCTCGCTCCCAAACATCCGCAGGGAAAACTTGTTGACCCCGGGCTGCAGCATCGCCCCGAACTGCCTGTGCATGAAGCCCGCTTGATAAAACCTCTCGTCGTCCGGCAGGATCTGCTCGATGCCCTCCAGCTTTATAAAGCCAGCCTGCTGATCCGGGACGCCCGGTTGCTGCTGCTGGCTCGCACCGGCGGCATCCTCTCCCCCGCCGCCGCCGGGCTCCGCGCCGCCACCCGCGGCTCCAGGAGGGCTCTCCTCGCTCGGAGTGACTTCTCCCTCCGTGATCAGACGCCTCTCCTCCGCTACATCCGAGTCGTGGACGTGCCGACTGCTGATGGACGAAAGGCTCCCTCGGAACCTCCGGCAGTCCCCGTTGGAGCTGGTCTTCACGGGTCTCCCGATGTCCGTCTCCATGATCACGGACTCTCCACTTCTGGTCTCCCCGAGGGCTCCGGCGGAAGGCAGGGGCTTCATCCGGATGCTCTTCCTCCGGGTGTCCTTGTCGGTGTCTTCTGCATCACCCATGATGTGCTGTGGCAAACTGTAGAGCCTTTTACGCATGGACGAATGCAACCTGTCCATTATGACATTGAAACGGGTGCGCGATCAATTCAATGACAAACGAATCCAATTCGGGTGTAATTATTGCCACAAATCCCTGTGCACCAAAACCCGAATAGTCTGAAGGGTCAAACCCACCTGTCTTTCGCTCAAGCACATGCCACGGCGCATTAGGCTACCTGGCTGCCCAAATCCAGTGGTCTCCAGCTTCAAGGCACTGACTGTGTTGCTCTGCGAGCACGTATAAAGTCTGAGGAATCGCAGATCGGGGGAGGTCACGGACCCACAGGATCCTTGTCGGCTGTCAATCACGATCGAGTAGCCCACATCAACCGGGAACCGCTGACATCACCGCCTTCCGCCGTCCCGAGTCGCTCTGATCCGTGAATATTCCTGGTGATGCTGATCTCGGGTTGCCATAGAAGCGAGAGCAGCATCTCAGCCACTCAGAGTCAGTCAGGTACCCGACACCTAACCAAACCTTTACGCGGTTCTCCTCACGCAATATTCGCATTTTACACACAAAATAAACATTTAATTTGGCTTTATTTTGACTTTTTGTGATGGAGAACACTGACAGGGATGGAAGCCCGTTTCTGCCACTGAATTAAAAAAATTAAAAAAGGTTATTGCGACTTTTTATCTCACATTTCGGACTTTATTC